ACCTCATAAGCACCCTTTTGCTGATCTGCCCCCAAAGTAGTTTTCCTACTTTCACATTCAATCATCCCCTAGTCTAGAAGCCTTGGCCTGGAATCTTGGCTCTAGGTACTCCTTCAATACTCTCCCCCGCTGGAAGTTCTTGAAAATTGTTGAAGAGGCCAGAGGTTTGAGATAGAAGAATTAAGATGGACACCTTTCATTTTAGTTGCCCCAAACCTGATTGATCTGTGTTTGGAGACTCCAGCCCATCCTAGGAATATATTTTTTTGGTCTTCAAAGAAAATGTCCCATTTGAGTACTGAGCAATTGGGAAGAACCCAGGAAATAAGTGTTTCAGGAGATGGTATAATAAAAAAAAGAGACAATAAATAAATGTGAAAATATATACAGCCAGTCCGAAAAAGACTATGGGAAGACTGATCTTGTTTCTCAGCCTCTTCTGCTTCTATTCAGGCTTGGGGGTCATTGACCTTTACTCACAGTGTCTGGAGATTGTAACCCATACTGGTAGAGATCTCAGTGAGCAGTAGTGATTTCCTAGGATATAGTGTACTACCAGCCCTATGCCAGTGTTTAGCTGTTCCCATCCAACCTCTGCTCCTTGTTCTCTCTGGGCTTTTCCTAAGAACTATTCTATCATGGTATTCACTTACCATTTTGGTTTATTCTGTTTATAGTTATAGTTTGAGTTCCATATTAGAGTTACTAATCTTGCTGTCTTTTTGGGAATGACCTGGACCATCATCTAAAAGCTTTGTCTGTGCTATCATACTGTCTATTGTATCATTCCAGCTATCTTGGTGCCTATGCTACATGGTCTATCAGTCTAATAGTAGGTACTTATAGCTAATTGGATAGATACTACATGTAACTCAAGTTCTTAAGAATATTATTTATTTTTTAAAATGCATGTCTTATATATTTTCTAATTCTGAACACAAATCTTATAGCATTTTGATGGAATTACTTTAAAACATGTTTGATGAGAGATACCTAGAACATTTATAAATTAAGGCTTCCTATCTGGGAACAGGATATTTTTATTTATCCAAGCCTGTTTTTATTTTAAGAAAGTCTTATTTTCTTTCAGTAGAACCCGCTTTGTATTGATATTTGAAGAGCTTTTATTTCCTTTTTGAGTACCATTTGGAGGGCATTTGTCTGGTCTGTGATGTATCAAATGCAAAAAATAAATTTCTTCTTTTGGCAATAATGGGGTTCTTGAACTTGAGACCTTGCACTTGTTAGGCATTCACTCTGTCCTTCAGTTCTTTTTACTTTTGTTATTTTTTTTAGAGACTTTCCAGCCTGGCCATCTAGACTACAATTCTCCTATGTATACTGCTGTGGGATAATAGGAGAGTGCCACTGTGTCAGGTTTTTGTTGTTTGAGATTGATGTCTGGGAGATCTCTGTTAACTCTTTCCTCAGGCTGGCCTTTAACTACAACTTGCCTATCTTAGCCTCTCAAGTACCTAAGAATAGGTGTAGCCTACAACACTGAGCTCTGGATTTCCTAGCTCCTGTCTTCACCCTCTGTTTTCATTTTTCCTGCACATCTCATATCTTCCTTCTAGATGCCTTCAGAAGGTCATTTGTGTTTCCTGACCTTCACAAAGACCAAAGACTTTTCCTTTTCTGGCTCCTGCTGTATTTTTCCTCTTTATCACCCTAATTTTTAAACTATAAACGAGGGATCATCATCATGGCTTTTAAATCAAAGAAATTCAATAAAGAAAGGAAGTCTGAGAGAGTCTGGAAAGTGTAGGATGGATGGGCTATGGGGATCAGAGGCCAGAAGCAGGAGGCTTGTGCCAGGCTGCTCTGAGAGACTGGGTGCTCAGAAGTGGAGATGGCAGGAAGGGAGAAGCTTTTGAAAGAAAGAATAGCAGTTATACTGTTGTTTGACCATATTGAGGATCCAGTGATGGTCATTATTGCTGATTTGGGACTTTGATCCAGAAGAACAGTTGCAATGGATCGGTACTGATAACTGCTCATGCTCTGACAGGGACAAAGGTGGAAAGTTATCTATGGGACCAGCTCTCCCTGTTGTCTCTGCTTGCTCAGTGGAGCTTGTTCAGGGAGCAGCTTGAACTTCTCTGGTGTATGGGAGATTGGGTGGACATGTCCAGTGGCACCTGTGGTAAGCTGAGGTGCTGTCAGGTATAGAACCACCATATAGAACATGCAAGTTATTTATCAGATATACACATGGATTCGCAGGGAATAGGCTAAGATGTAGAACATCTTCTCTCCCAAGTTGTTTGTGAGCAGCTGTTTGCCATGGGACTGCTTACCCCCATAGGGGACCATCTTTTTCTCATCTGTACAAAGGCTCCAGATGGGCTAGTTGGGTCTGCATGGGCCTGGCTCTGGGCTGCTAGAGTGATGAGGACTGTATGGACCAGAGGGTAAAGGGCTAACAATTTCCAGAGAATCTGTGCTGCCATCCACGTGGCTTCATTCCTTATGCTCACAAGCTGTCTGTAGCTGTGCCTGCAGGCCACAAATCCACATTCTAAGCAGGAAGAAGGGGAAGGGTAAAGGCGTGGCTTACTGGCTATATCTTTTTTTAGTCAGGAAAAGAAAGCCAGATCTAAGTCACAGAGCCAATTTTAGTTAGATCCAAAAGGTGTGGTTCAGAAAGATGTTAACAGACACATTAAAAAAAAAAGCCAGGGATCTTCTGGTGATTGATCTTGGAAAAAGAAATTAATCTGAGCAGGCTCCCACAAAACACAGAGTAGCAGGCACCCCCACATCTCAGCATTGGCATTGCAGGTGCAATCCCTCTGTATTGAGTATTTTGGTACTTTTCTTATTTCTTCTTAGTAGCCCACATAAAACATATTATAACGAAGTCAACTTAAAAGCTAAATTGAGAATTTTCAGGGTCTTCTATGGAAGACAAGGACTTCTCTACAGAGCAGAGATACATCTATACCCATGTCCCTGAAAACCCTATTCAAAGCCCCTGGCCACACCCATAGGAATTGTCCCTCCTGGCCACCAGGCCCCAAAGCAGCTGGGATGTTTTCAGTTGTTTTCTTCACGAAGAAATTTGAGTTGATTCCCAAATACATATTTAAGGATCTAAAATAGACTTTTGCCAATTAAATTGGGAGGGCCCAGGAAGACTTCAGTAGGACTTTGGTCTGTTTCTGTTTGAGGGCTCTCTGCCTCCAATATTGTTGCAGGCCAGCTTCTCCAGATGGCTCCAGATGTGTCTGGGCACAGCCAGGTTCCCCACTTCAAAGGAGACAGTAAGGCCGGATGGTGTCTTACTCTGAGTGCTTAGCTGCAAGCTGAGCTTAGAGCTCCTCCGCTGGCCAATGAAGTCTTCTTGGACTGGTCCCTATCAAACCTCAGCCTCATGCCTGAAAGTTCCCAACAAGCCAAACAAAGGAATGTTTCTCCTTATCCCCATTCCCTTGAACCCCAGGCCAGGTTCCAGGTCTTTATCAGGTCCCAAGATAAGGTCCCAGATTGAGGGTCAGGCCTTGCAGACCCTGGCCACTGAATGAAGTGAGTTATAGTTGCCTTGGGTTGAACCTGTCACACGTGAACACACCCCATCACCATGCTTAGTTTGTCTTCTCCATCCGGATCTTTGCCACTTTAAGCTTCTATAATTCACAGTAGTCATTCCCAGAGAAAACCTAAACAAGAGCTGGAAGCCTGCTGAGTCAGATCTTCTATCTACCCCTCACTTCCATTGCTGCTTGTACTTAGCTTTCTGACTGCTGAAAGGGTGAGGGCTGGCAGCTGTGTCACAGCTCTGGGAGATGCCAAGTGTTGTCTCAGCACCTCATAACCTGTATTTGTCTGCCATAAACTTGGTGACCTCAACAACAGACATTCGCTTCTTATAGTTCTTGAGACTGGAAAGTCTAAAGAACAATGTACTAGCCAATTTTGCTTCTGGTAAAAGTTCCCATAGGTTTTCAGAGGCCACTTTTCTTGTAGTGTGGTGGAGAGAGCCAACTCTCTGACCTCTTTTGTAATGATACTAATTCCATCATAAGAACCCCACTCTTGAGATCTTACCCAAACCCTAAAAGTCTCCATTTCCAAAAAAACATCACATTAGGAATTATGGCTTCAACATATGAGTGGGGAGGAACACAAATACATTCAGTGTGTCACACAGATATACTGAGTTTCAGCCATGTCTAGCCCTAGGCTGGCCACAGGGATGAGGGAAGGCCCAGGACTTACCTCAGGGGTGGGAGGGAGGGGTACCTAGGTGAACAGTGAAGCCACACTCTCCATGAGTTTGTCAAGACACTTTGGTTCCCTGTTCTCTTTCTTGTTCTCCGTGACCAATTGTCCCTCATTCCTCTTCATCAGTATATGCCTTTTCACTTCTCTTCCTTGGAAAGCCCCAGTTCACCGTCCTCCAATGGGCAGCTGCACAGAGGGCTAAGTATGGCAGCAAAGATGGAGATACTCTGTTCTAAAAGGCATGGAATATTTGAATTGAAAAACAGGCCCTGAGACAGTACAGCCAGAGATGAGAGGGGCTGACAGGCCAATCACACCGGCCTCTCCCTCTGGATCTGTCTTCTCAGCATGTGTACTCACTTCTCTGGACACACACCGTATGTAATGAGCCAACCAAGACACATTCTGACACCCCACAGCCCACAGGACTCTGAAAGATTCTACTTTGTTTTCAGTGCTTTTATGGAAAAACAGGGTTGGGTTTTTTTCCCCCTTGCAAAAGATCACATTTTCCCCAATTGAAGGAAAATCAATTTCATTTTGTAATGTGTCTGACTCGTGAAGTTCCATTGCTGACCCAAGCTTGGCAGCGTCTCAGAGTCTAATCCTTGATCTCTTTCTTCTGAGCTGAGCAGTAGCCAGTTCTTCCCTGAGCTGAACCAGGGCCATTTATTTTCATCTCTAAATAAGGAGTGGATTTGATCTAATAATGAAATCCAGTGAGATCTAAAGATGATGCATTAATCTTTGATTTTCCTTATTTTATCACAAAGAAAACTGCTGCAGATGGAAAAAGACAGGAGATCATCGTTCTAGATTCCAAGAGGAGCAATGCCATCAATATTGGCCTGACAGTCTTGCCCCCTCCAAGAACAATTAAGATAGCTATTTTGAATTTTGATGAATATGCCTTAAACAAAGAAGGAATTGAGGTAAGAGAAGCTCTGTCAAGCATTATTTATATTGTCTAATAATAACAAGTTAAAATTGACATGATTGGCTCCAGTACAATTTCCAGTATTGCCTCTTTTTACTTTATTAACCAGACTCAGAATAATGTTAATAGTTTTCTTACATGTTTCTTCGGAAGTAAGGGGTAGAGATGAGCCTCACTTTGCCTGTGAGAATCCTCACTGCCTAATTTATTTATGGATCTCTCTCTCTGACCCCATGTGGCCTATCTCCAAGTAGAAAAAAGACTGCTACAACCTGCTTGCAAGAGTGTTGGGGTCTTTCTTCACAGCATTTCAAGTCAAATATATTTAAAAAAATTGTAAATGTGGGGTTTCAATATGCTTTTCCTTCCATGAAAAGAACTCTGTTCCTCTCCTGGGCACTTGGAATATGGACAGCCATGTCTTAGTTGATAATCTGTAGAACCGAGTCAATGGAGGCTATATTACTGGTGGACTGAATGTCAAAAGCAGGGAGATGTTGGGTGATGTGGCTATTACTGTGCAGTAGACAGTCCAGCTGGAGCCACACCTTAGCTTATTGTGCCAACGTTCTTATTCTTCTATCTGGCTTTACCCTCTTTTCACCATGGACTGGTGCCAGTTGATGCAGGTGAGATCTCTTATTCTAATTATGGGAGATGAATAACAGAGGTACTTGCCAGCTCACGCATTCCTGCAGAGTTGTGATATCACCTGAGGACCCACTGGATATTAGTGAAGAATCTTGCCATGCTGCTTTGTGACAGTGGGTGACATTCAACCCATCCTATTAGAAAGGAACCTCAGTCTTAGTTGAAATTTTTGAGCATTCAGGAAAGCCTGACTCTGGAGCAGGAGAGCAAGACTTTGCCAGAAAGGTTGTAAGTGAGGTAGCATGCCCACCCTAGGTGTGCAATGCAGTAGGGGCCGGGGTTGGATCTCAGGAAGCCAGTTGTGCTTTGTAAAGAAGAGTCTACAAGAAAAATTGTTCATGGGGATTTGTACTAAGTTCAATGGTATCCCCCCATATCCATGCCCACCCAGCATGTGACCTTACTCGGAAGTAGGATCTTATAGTTTAAACAAGTTAAGGTCAAACTGAAATAGAATGGGCTACAAATCTGATGAGTGATAAAATACAATAACAAGGATATTTGGTCACAGACACAGAGAAGGGAATGTCACTTGAATTTAGAGAACACACAGGGAGTCTCAAAGAATAGAATGCCTTGTGACGACATAGGCAGAAATTAGAGCAATGTGTTTACAAGCCAAGGAATGTCAGGGATTAAGGGCAAGCACCAGAAGCTAAAAAAAGGGCAAGAAACAATTCTCCCTGCGAGCATTTGGAGAGAACATGGCCCTGCTAAGCCCTTGATTTTGGACTTCTAGCTTCTAACACTGAGAGAAAATGAATTTGTATTGTTCTAAGCTACCCAGCCTGTGGCACATTGTTATGATAGCCCTATGCAAGGCCCAAGCAGTTTGACTTTGAGGATCATGCCTATCCTATTCTAGGAAGAGGACTGGAAAGAATGAGCATTTTTCCCAGCTAAAAGCAAGTAGTACTGTGAGTCCTGGAGCGAGGCAGGCAGCATATCCAAGAGGGCATGTGGGAAGGCAGGGTAAGAGACAGCAGAGAGAGATAGGGAGAGGCATTGAGGCAGGTGTGAAGCTGGAGAGAGGAGCAGGCCAGACCTCTGTGTGAGGAATCCCCACAGGTCCTCACAGGCAAGGGAGAAGAGCAGTGCCTGATATTGGATGATCATAGATGAAGTATGATACTTAGGAAGTATCTTTCATGAAGGAGAAATAAGGTGTGGACTGGGTGCACTCGCAGGCCGTCCTATTTATACAACAGGTCCTTTAGAGATGGCAAAAAACAGATTCCCACATAAGGAAGCTTCAAATACAGTCAGAGCCAGCCACACTGAAGATCAAAATAACAACTTATTTTAAAAATATTTCCCATTCCCATCTAGAGGACTTGAAAACCCATCAGCAGTTTTTTGTTTGTGCTTTTTTCGTGCTTCTGTGCTTTTCTGAAGTATACTTCTCCTTGGGTAAGAGAAGTTTCAGGCTCAATAAGTTACTTAGATTTTAAAGTGAACCCTTTTTTTTCTTTTTCCTTATCTACCTGGCTTTCAGTTAAGCACCCTTTTGATTAGGAAAGAATAATGATAGTTACAATAATGCCAATGTGTAAAGGAATGAACACAGCACTACACCTGACTTTTATAAGTCTCTTATTGTGGGCCAGGCACCAGGTAGGAGCCTTCCTATCAATGAGTATGAGGTACATCCTCACAAGGCTTAAGGTCCTTATCTTAAAGATGAGGGTGAGTCCCAACATTCATCTGTCAGTTTCACAGACCCAGGGGAGGTAGAGGATGTGAGCTCCAGAGCCTGAGCCCACAGTATGAGCCTGGGGGTGGCTGGCCCAGGAACATACCTCAGGTCTGGGATATTTCTTCCCTGAAAATGAGAGATATAGCCACCCAGAAGGCAACATGGTGCACCTCATAATGCTGCCTACAAGAGTTCTGCCTGGGAGTAGTTGAGACATGAAACATTTGAAGTGAGAGGACTCAGCCACAGAATATACTAGTAACCCTCTAGCAATATTGTAATGTGTCAGAAGTTATCAGTAAACACATAGTCACAATAGCATTTGGAATTACAACATTTTTATCAGTTTCCTTCCAAAGCAGTTCCATAAACTGAACACTATGGACATGTGCGGCTTTATCCTCTTTGTTGTAGGTTAGTCCTGTGGGCTACAGGATGTACAGGAGCATCCATGACTGCTGCCCACTGCATACTAGAAACATCTACCCTCCCTAACTTAGCCCAAAGCCAAAAATGTCTCTAAGACATTGTTAAGCCTCCTGTGGAGGTGAAAGCAATCTGTCTGAGGATCCTTGATCTATAAGCTGCTTACAAGAAGTCAAGGATTATATACCCCACAACACTTCTCATGCATGACTGGGAAGACTCTTGTGAAATGGCTCTCATAGAGAATATGGGATCTAGTACCCTGATCATCGACTAGCTCTGGCCATTGATTGCTGGGACTGTGGACATAGAAGACCTAGATCTATGTTCTGGGCAGTGCACCGGGCTTGTTTGGTAAGTCTTGCTGTACAAGAGTTAAATTGAGACAGAGAAGAGATGGAAGTTGTGAACTTGCAGATTTGCTAATGAGATTTCCAGCTAATGGCCAAACAGCCTTCAGCCATCTGCTTCTTGGATACATGTACCCTGGCATGGCACCACAGCATAATAGGGCCATTAGAAAGCTCTGTGTACCTAAATGTAATTAGGATGTATTAAAGGACATCCTGCAGCTTTGCTTAGCAACCAGTGGTATGCATCTGGGATTATCATGCAACCCTAAGGAAGTAGTTAACTTCATTAACAAAAAGAAAAGTATTAAACTTGAGGAAATTGTTTTAGAGTCATCGCTAAAGAATACAAATCATGTTTTCCCAGGTAAAATGTCATCAAATTATCATAAATGGATGTACATAGAGGTTTGTTTTTCCTTTCCCATTCTTAGAATATGGTCTCCACAAAGGGTGGCGCAATCGAATCGTCTCCAATGGCATTTTAAATAGCTCAGTTTGACTGTCATGACTGTCAGCATCTTGGAAACAGAGGTTTCCTTTGGCTATTCATGCAGAACTATTTTCTGAGTAGTTAGTATTGCACAAGACCTATCTGCAGGTACTTGAGTAGATGCTAGACACATGCAGGTGAGCCTGCCCATGCAGAGGCTCAAAGAACCATAGAACTAGAAAATGCTGAAGATTCACAGACCCTGCTGTTAATTGTGCATATGTAGTTTAATCCTTGTCAACTCTGGGACTGGTGTTAGGAGAAGAGGAACAATCTGCTTTGTTGTTAAACCTAGCATCCAGTATTTTATCTGTATGTTTGAAACAATAATTTCCACGACAGTGTACTTCAAAGAGTAGAAAGAACATACTATCAAGATGATTTCAGAAGTTTTTTTTCAGAATACTATTTTCTCATGAGAATATGTAAGTTGTATATAAACTCCGCTCAGCCCTGAATTTTCCAACTTTCTGATGTTGTCACCCAAATCCTTGTGGTATGTTCTTACCCAAATTGTACCCAACAGTTCTGTTCAAAATCACCAGGCAAAATAATTACTTCTTATGGTATCATATGTAGGTAAGTGAAATGGTCAGATCAATTACATTTGGGTACATGAAAATGGATATTTTTGTATTTTCCCTGAAATATGCATTTCATATATGAAAACCCATTATGTTTAGAGCAAATAGACATTGTCTGGAAGAAAGTTAAAAGCTGAGGTTGCCACATTTAGTATTATTTGATGTTTCTTTTTCTCTAAAACAAAATGGTGATCATAAAATCTTCAATAAACCTGATATAGTAGAAAAGTAAGTTTAAATTTCACCCTATATTTATCCCATTATCATTTGTTTATGGGAGAAAGAGCATGAACTCACAGGAGGTGGTTTTGACCTGCTCTTCTACTGTCTTAAGGCTATTTTTATTGTCAGTGATGTGTAAAAAATAATAAAGTAGCAGATGGCAACCTTATAAATCTCCAACAGTGAACAAATGGTTTAAATTAGAGAGAAAAAGTAAAACAGATTATTTTCTGAAAAGAACAAAGCAACAAAAAAATCATTGCAAGACAATGCTTTCTGTGGGTCAAAAATGGTGTCAGCAAGTTTTGTTTTGGAATTCTTGCCATACCTAGAGCAATATAAAGATTACAGAAATGAAAACACAAATTTGAGTTAAATTTTTATAACTAGCTGAGTTCAAGTCATAGATATTTTAAAAGAAGAAGTATCTGTCTGACTTGTTCATGTTTTAATCTCCTCTGTCTGGACAGAGGCGCAAGAACAAGGCAGTGGGCAAACAAAAAGCAAGATCTCTTACCTGATGCTCAAATTCTACCCAGATAGTCTCAGTTTGGAGCCAACATGAAGAGCAAGTTAGAAGAGAATCTATCTGATGTGTTACTTTTTGTACTGTCACTCTGACTGCAGCTCTGAGTACACATCTTCAGAGCAATTGTATATTACTGGCTTGTGATAAATGAGAGGGCCTTACATGTTAAGACTTACCAAACTGAAGAATACTTCTCATTACTAGAGTTTAATTTTTTTCTAGTGAAATCATATGATTCTTCTGAAGCTATTATTTTTCAAATTCATTGTGATTAGAACTATTGCCTTACCATATGACTTTTAAAATCAACTTTTCAATATCTACAAATAATTCTTGCTAGTCTTTTGGTTGGAATTAAATCTATAGATAAATCTGGGGGAAAATTAACATCTTGACTGTGAGTCTCAATCCATGAACATGTTTTGTCTCTCCATTTATTTGGGCCTTTGATTTCTTTCATCAGCATTTTCTAAGTTCATTATACAGATCCTATATTTTACTTATTAGATTTATCAGCTATATAACTTCATTATAAATAACTTGAAACAATTTTTGTCATTGTAAGAAAATGCTTTTCGTGGTTTAAAAATGGTGTTGCTAAGTTTTGTTGTGAAATTCTTGTCATTCCTAGAGCAATATGAGGAATAAGGAAATGAAAACAAAAATTTGAGTTAAGTTTTTATAACTAGATGTACTTCTGTATAATTGCCTTATGCAACATTATTGAACTCACTATTTTAGAAAGTTTTCTGATAATTCTTAATAGTTTTCTATGTCCATGGTCATGTCATCTGCAAATAAGAACAATTTTATCTTTCTAATTCTTTGGCTTTTATCTTTGTGTGTACTTGATTAGACATTCTGTACAATGGTAAGTGGGAATGATAAGAGTAGACAAGAGAATAGAGGAATGTTTATCTTTTTAAAAATGTAATCCCTAACGACTTTGACCCTATAAGAATCATCTTTCTGGTGTCTTTTTTCTCTGCCTCCAACAATTAATTTTTATTAGAAACAAAAGCAAAATAACACACACTTTTCTTTTTCAAATTGGTATTGCTCTTTTTAAATACAATTGTATTTTTCCTCAATCAGACTTGAGTTTAATATTAAAATACTGTCATTTCTAAGTTTGTAGCATAGCTTAACAATTTAACTTATACTTCACAAACAAAAGTGATTAGGAGTTATTTGTGAAAGAGTTATTTTGTACTCTTTCAATCCATGAGTTGTGTTATAAAGTATATATTGTTGACATATTTCTCATTATTTCCTAGGAAACAGGGAGTGTGGTCTCTGGCCTTCTATTTTATTTTTCTTCTTTCTTTCACCTTCCACCCTTCTTGCCTAAAATGTTTTTCATGTTCATGATCCAAACAGTTCAGGGAAAGTTCCTTAGCATATATTTGGTTGTGAAAATATAATAGCTGTAAAGGATTAAAAATAGAATATTCCTATTAACTGGGAAATTGTAATAGGAATTTGAAAGCATTGAAATGTAGACAATGACTCATCACTAACTAATCAGAACTGTTATATCACCCCATCTTTCCAGAAAATTCTAACAATGATTCCCACTGAAGAGGAGAAACAGAAAATCCAGGAAGCTCAGCTGGCTAACCCTGAGGTTCCCTTGGGCAGTGCAGAGCAATTCCTGCTCATGCTCTCCTCCATCAGTGAGCTCTCAGCTCGGCTCCAGCTCTGGGCATTTAAAATGGATTATGAAACCACAGAAAAGGTAAGGACTTTGCACTAGATGCAAGTATTCAGAAATCTAGTGGTTTTTGTAAATTAATGCCTATTAAACGAATACTAAGCTAATGGAGTATTGTTTTAAGCACAGGTTCAGAGGGAAAGTTGATGATATTGGGTTCCATCAGTAACACTGGGTGATGGGAGCTGCCTGTACTGAATTATCAGTCTTCCAATAATGGGTTATTCTGAAGTGCCTGCCTGGCATCAGATTCAGATGCCTAGTGGATTCCAAATTAATTAGTTTTAATAATTGCAAAAATTAAACCTGATTCTTATTGTAGGAAATTTGGACAATTCAGGAAAGCACAATAGAGAAACTTTCTTGTTATCTTTCTATCTGATGATAATCATCTAAGCTGCCATTAACAGTAGCAGGTAGCAGGACCTTGGGCACCTTTTAGGAGAACATGCTCAGTAGAAAGAGGAAAACAAAGCAGATTGCAAACAACTAAGAAGAGACCCAAAGAAAAGAGAAGGTCTTAGGAAGCCCTTCTTAAGTAGGAAGCAGAAGGCCCAGACATCTTTCCTAGACCACCAGCAGAGTACATTTTTAGGCTGAGTGGGAAGCAGTGGAGAAATGGCAGTTAAGTCCAGGAGAGATTAGTTACATGGACTTGCTGAGAGAAGACAGGCTCAGAAACCCTGCTGAAAAAAATTATGAGTCTCCACCTCTTAGCAAAAGATGAATACCATATCCAAAACTCTAAAATCTACATATTCAAATCCAACACTTCTTGCTTACAAGTGGCAAAATTCCACTCCTAACCTCATGTGACAAATTACAGTCACAATACACACACACACACACACACACACACACACACACACACACACACAAAGCCAGGTGTCAGTGGTTCACACTTGTAATCCTAGCTATTCAGAGGCTGAGAAATGAGGATCATGGTTTGAAGCCAGTGGATCAGAAAAGTCCATGAGACTCTTATCTCCAATTAACTGCATATCCCTCTCCCCACTACCTCTCCCCAAAAAACCCTGGAAGTAGCACTGTAGCCTGCCTCAAGTGGTGGAGCTATAGCCTTGAGGGAAAAAAAATTCAGGGAAACACCCAGACCCTGAGATCAAGCCCCAGAACTGGCACAAAAACAAAACAAAACACAGTATGTGCATTTAAAATATCCTATAAAATTGCTTTCAGTGTTTCATACCAAGGAGAAATGTTCATCATGTGAGGCTGACCTGTGCTATGGAGAAATGTTATTATTTATTTCATAAATTTTTTTTAAAAAAGAGCCCAAATGTACCTTTGTTTTCATCTCCTATCTTTTTTTTTTAACTGAAAGGAAGTAGCAGAACCACTTTTGGACCTGAAAGAAGGAATAGACCAGTTGGAGCACAATCAAACTCTGGGCTATATCCTATCTACGCTCCTAGCCATTGGGAACTTTCTAAATGGAACTAATGTAAGTCTTCTCCATCCTATATCTTCCTGCCTCCCTTGTCAGAAAACCCATGCCATTTGCTGCTAGAGGATGTACTTCTGATTCCCCAAAGTAGAACAACCAACTTTTATGCCTTCTTGTTGAAAATCTGAAGAAATTTTGGCCTTGAAATATTAAGGGTCATTAAAAAAAATCTTAACCTTGCTATAAATGAGGACACTTAGCAAAATAAGCATAAGCTTCTTCATAAGATACAGCTGCTCCTGAAACTGATATTGGAATTTTCATCTGCTTTATTTTTTTTCCTCCTGAGCTTATTTATCTGGATTTTTTTTTTTAAAAACAACATTGTCATTGCTATTGGTCTGGCTCTGGCGAGAGTAACAGACCTATGTGTAAGCAGGGCCAGAAGAGGAAGAAAGTATTGATATTCAGATATCAAAGACCCAGTCTTTTGACACCCTGATTCAGGATGTGGTCTCAGGTGTGGCTAGGGATGTGGCGGGAAAGGGCTGGAGTCTCACCATCATTCCTAGTATGCCTGGTTCATGTGCTGTCAGTGAAAGAGGATGGAGCATGTGATACAAGAGTTTCAGTCCCAGAGAAACTAAATATTGGGCTGTTGCAGCTGGGCATTGATACTGACCGTTGGTGCTATTCCAAGAGCCTATAGGAAGCTTAATTTTCTCATTTTTTATGTCATCAAACAGGCCAAAGCGTTTGAGTTAAGCTACCTCGAGAAGGTTCCAGAAGTCAAAGACACAGTGCACAAGCAGTCGCTTCTCCACCATGTGTGCTCCATGGTGGTGGAAAACTTTCCAGACAGCTCTGATCTGTACACAGAGATTGGAGCCATCACCAGGTCAGCCAAGGTACGTCCTTGACCAGAGAGCAACCGGCCTTGCCTTGGCCTTTACTGTTGGATCTTCCTGAGAATCATCTCCGCAGCACACATGCTCTATTAAGAAAGACATTCAGTGCTGTCTGTGTTCCCTTCTCTGGAGTTTGTGACTATGATTCGTTTCATGCCATTTCTAATGAGCTTTTAAGATCTTTTTCCTATCACTCGTTCTTGGTCAGATTCTTTCCTACTGAGGTATGTAAGACAAGCCTGACATCCAAGTTTTCACTCCTGCATCTTCTTTTGAGAGTGTTGAGTCTCCAAAATATTACAACTATGCAGTCTGTTTTAGGTGGGCAAATAGGTCAGCAAAATCCCACCTGGCTCCTTCTGGAATGTCCCTAGGTCGTACAGTAAAGCCTGGAGCCAGGGAAGAGGATAGGCCTGCCCTGCTGCCCAAAGTTAGGACATCCCAATGATCTTATGCACAGGGAATGTTTTTATAGGGCTGTAAACAGTATATAGCATTGGCCTCTCAGCTAAAGTGAGTACAGAGTTTTTATCTTCGTGAACATACGGTTTATTAGAAAAGAGACAGTAACAATCTGTGGCCACAGAGCTGCCTCTTGTGCAAGAGGATCTTTGAGACAGAACTGGGAGAAATGAAGGTTATGGAAAACACAGGAAGTTCACTGGAGGATACCCTTCAATAGGGCACAGTAGCTAGGCTTACATGGAGGAATCTTCGGGAAACACATGTATGTATCTGTGGAATGGAAGCTGAAAGTGCTGGAATACACTGGAGTCCAATACGAGACAAAGGGATAGTAGAGGGAAGAGTGAGCAACGAGTAGATTCTGGCATCAAGGGTTTCCTTGCTGGCTCTCTTACTCTTCTAGCATGATGGTCTTCTTAACTGAAGTGGAAAAAGGTGTAGCCAGCAGTTCCCCAGCTCTGAGAGCTGACAAAAGGTTTCTCAGAACGGAGTCCTCTATTAAACAGGCACTTACACCATCTTATTCTCTGTCATGCACTGTTCTATGGTCATTACAAATATTCATATTCAGTGTCTTAACCAAGACAGAAAGACTTTAAGTGACCCAGCAGAGCTCTCCCCAGTTGCTGCTTCAACTTCCTCAGGAGCATCTCCTCAGAAGAGGTTTACTGTGGTGGTCTTGTTTGTTTAGGGGTTGGTCTTGGGGCTTAAAATTCAGAGCCTCTCCCTTTGATGCAGCTTTCCTGAAAGCTCACAGCTGAAAACTCTTCTAGTCTGGCATTTTTCTGGTTAATTGAAGATGGAGTCTTCAATGGTTTTCTTCTCATGTATAATCCTTCAGTTATACCCAGGGACTTCCCCCAGCTATTTGGCTGTAACCAAATAGCCTTGACCTAGGAGTCTTGTTGTTATAGCTAATCACAGTGGCTGCCCTAGCCCTACCCCTCTCCAGTATCAGACCTTTCCCCAAAGCTGAGTGGATGATTAGGTGACATTTAAATTATAGTGACATAACTTTTCTTGCCTAACAGCTGCCCAACAATACACAAGCCAAATCTGCAGCTAGCCCCTTCACACTAATTTTGGCAGTTACCGAAGATCACTGCAGACTGATTCATGTGACTTACAACAGGAGGCCACAAAGCCTTCCACTTAGAATTCATTCCCAGAGCCTTTTAGGCTCCACAGCACAAGGAAATACAGGCCCTGCCCTCTCCTTCCTGGGCCCATGGAATCCACTGTGTCCTAGGGTTTTCTTCCTAAGGGATGCCAGAAATCCTCTTAGACATCTGCCTTCATTGACTTGATCCCCTCTCTTGTCCTTCTGAGGGTAGGCTAGTAGTCAGAAATCATACCAGCAATTCCCTTCTAAATGTTCTTTAGGCCTTGCTTACTACAGCCATTGGCACCTTGACAGTTGCAGCTTACCTCCACATCCTGCTGCTCCTCCAACTTCTGTCTGTTGCCCTCCTTCCCTTTCCAACCATTGCTCACTCCTTATCTTCCTCAGTTCCTCCCTTCAGCCCACCTGCTTGCTTATCTGATTATTTCTCTCTTACTTTCCCTCCCAATTTCTTTCTCATCTCCTATTAAATGTGATCAAGTATATTTTTTCAGAACTAAGTAATGCTTTGATTCATGTAATTTCAAGCCTAGGAATTTTATAAAAGCATCACCTTAGAAATCCTTATCACAGTCCATTTCTGTTAATCTAAACTACTTACATGCTCTGTCATCTATTCTTTGTATGTATGGCTTTTATTTTCTGTCAAGATCCTATGCCCTATGACCAATACAGGTCTGGTGAGTGCTGTGAGATCCCCAGTTTATATGAGGAAGTTCCTTAAGAGCTGAATTTGGTTGCATTTCATGTTTGTCTTTGCATGCTCACTGCCTGATATGGGTGTATACTAGTTCCTCCATGGTGATTAGTTGGATGTGTGAATGGTGAGTAGATAAAATAATTTGATACTCAAATTGTAAAGGAGATCAGAAAGAGAATCTAGCTACCTGGCATAATCAAATCTGACCAGGGTGAGTTGTTTAGCCTTCTACAGTATTATCCTTCTAAAATATTCCAGAAGAATAAGAGTGTTCTGAAAACTTTTATGAGACATCTACTCAGTTCATCTTGTACTAGGTTTCTTCATTTCATGTTTTAATTTACAGTTCCCAAAGACTTGCATAACATTTCTTTCCAAATAAGGCAGGGAAAGGTGATTCTGTCTCTGGGTTCATTTGGAGAACAGTTTTATCACTGAATAAGTTGATGTTGTGATAATGACAAATACTCATGTGAATAATTTTTAGGCTATGAGTGTGTTTGTATTTCAAGATGCAAATTTGGTTTTGATGTTTGTTTCTTCCTGGAGGCACTTTGTTCTCCTGATTTCGGTTGGTGTCCAGTTGTTTCAGTGCATTTGCAGTGTTCTCTCACATTTTCAGGTTGACTTTGATCAACTTCAGGATAATTTATGTCAGATGGAGAAAAGATGCAAAGCTTCATGGGATCACCTCAAGGCAATTGCAAAACATGAAATGAAACCAGTTTTAAAACAACGGATGTCAGAGTTCCTCAAAGACTGTGCAGAACGAATTATCATTTTAAAGATTGTCCATAGGAGGATAATTAACAGGTAAACTGATAGAAAGATCTATATTCTTGGAAATATTCTGCAAATAAGGATCTGTAGGTCTATTGCAATTGTACTTTCTCCATATAGTAAGTGTACCTATGCTATAGATACTGTTTCGTCGATATTTACATTTTTCTTACATAATAATATAATACAATTGAATCTTGAAGTTGGAAGGAAAGTTAGACATCATTTGATGAAAAAATAATCCCATTGGACAAGGAATTGTATGTATAAGATCTCTGACAAACCTAAATGTTTCTGCAGCTGCTTGAGCAGTGTCACCTACAGAGAGTTTCTCCTTCGCAAGGCAGCTATAGTTGTTAGAAAAATTCTTCCTTGCTGGGGCCAGTAGTTCATGCCTGTAATCCTCAGGAGGCCTGGATCTGAGGATCCTGATTCAAAGCCAGCTTGAGCAGGAGAGTCTGTCAGACTCTTATCTCCAATTAACCACCAGGAAATTGGAAGTGGCATTGTGGCTCAAAGTGGGACAGCACTAGCCTTGAGTGAAAAAGCTCAGGGACAGTACCCAGGTCTTGAGTTCAAGCCCCATGAACGACAAAAATAGTTCTTCCTTTATTTGGCCTTCAGTCTGACCTCTGAGAACTTTCCAGTGGCGGATTCTCTGGCAGCTGCTCCATACGTCAGGTGCCTGAGTAAGGGCTGGGCTCCGCTGCAAGGACCCTCCTCCTCTACACCAGTCTTCCTCAGAGTTACACTAGAGAAATATCAATAGGGGATCAGTCCTTCTTCTACCCACAAGGAGGCTGACTGGGGTCTAGCATGGCTCTGTGGCTGTCCAAGGTTCTTCCTTTAGTAAGCGTTGGCAGCCAGGACTTCAACCCAAGTGTTGTATCTTCCTAGGCCCCAGGGTGTTTCCTGACATGAGCCACCACTTTCTTCTCCTTTGCTTTGTCACAGAATATTGATGTAGGGACACTTTCCTCCCATTCCTCTCTCCTCCTCTTGTCTCTCTTTCTCTCCTTTCATTTTCTGTAAGCCACATCAGGCTTTCTAAAACCTAATTCTCTCTTTTTTTAAAATAAGTTTTTTATTGTGAAAATACTGTACAGAGGGGTTACAATTACATGAGCAAGGTAATAAGTACATTTCTTATCAAGCATTGTTGCTTCCTCCTTTGTTTTTCCCTTACCATCCCTTCCACCTCAACTATACTCGCCCCCTCCTGACCCCCCCAAATTATGATGGTTCTTACAAGAACAGAAGTCTTTCTGGGGTTGCTAGTTTATAATCATGACTTGAGCTTCTGGGTCAAAATACCATGGGTGGGTGACCTCTATTTGCTTCAAAGCCTCTCCCCCCCTCCCCTGCCTAAATTGTAAAGTTCATTTTTTAATATAGCATCTTGTATATCTCATTGTTACAATGGGTCCACCTGTATCCCTATTTAAACAACTTATTTTTTCCCTTCCCCAAATTATACCAACATCAAACACAGTGAAAACAGGGTAAAACTTGATTCTCTTGTCTGCACATGACACCCCCTCCTCCCAGCTTTTATCATTTGCTGCTTCAGTCATCATAATTCCTTCGGCTTGACACCATCTGGTGAGAAAAGAAGAGTCGTATTAAGATTTTGGCTAGGATAGGAATAAGGGACTCAATTTCCCCAGCAAGTTGATAGCAAGCTATTAATCAGGACTTGTAGAATTTAGTTGTTTAGCTATGAACCATTTTAATTACATATACTTTATCTAGACCTTTTGTTTTCTCTCTGGATAGGAAAATTTTATGAGTTTTTTTTTTTTACCCAATGTCGTACTAAAATTAAAGTACACTTAACATGGCTAAAAAGGGGAGGCGAGGAATGTGAGCTTTCATGCTTTGTATGATGAGATCAATTCCCAACTTAAAAAAATCTACAAAAATAAATAATTTCCTTTTGGAGGTCATGAAGCTAGAACATTTTTATGTAGAATTTTAAAGCTATTGTGCCTGATTTTCTTTTATCCTAGACAGTTAAAAACTCATTTTGCTCATAAGGCTATTTGTTAAGATATAATGCATTTGCTCGGATTGTTCCATCGAAGCTGGTCACTTGCTGATGGTTGGTCTTGCCTTACCAAACTTCTTATGTGCTCATTATTGGGCATCCCACTGGAGATCACCAGGCTGGGCCAGAAATTCACTATAGCTATGATTGGCGGTAACAGGTGTATGGCAAATGTGAGTACAATGTAGTGGCCACCCCTAAAGTATATAACCTTGTGTAAAAAGGAAATCTCTAGCAAGATGTGTGTGTGTGTGTGTGTGTGTGTGTGTGTGTGTGTGTGTGTGATTACAGCAGGAAGACATTGTTGAAATACAGATGAAAGAGAGCTCCATTGCTTTGTTTCACTTTTCTGCTCTTCTTCCTGGCAGAATTCCACAGGAGCTTTGCACCTTTCCTGTTGGGGAAATAAGACTCAGAAACAGTTGTAAGACCTTGTTTGGGACCCTATAGCTTGTAACTAGTGTACTTGTCTTAGACATGCATCTCAGCTTAAATTTAAGACTTTAGAAAATTATAAGTAGATTAACCATTACCTCAGGCAACACCTGTTTTTCAAAACTATTGCTTGACTCAGAAAATCTTGTTTTCCTTGTTGGACCTCTGTACTAGCCTTTTTCCTGCCTGCTGCCCTAATCGCCTGACATATTCTGTGGATGTGTAAACTTGCTCTTCCATCCCTGTAGATAACTATGTTACTCTGCAAAAGGCACTTGGAAAAATGCAGCAGGTGAAAGGAGAGGGCAAAAGCTTCCTAAGGAAACCCAGTGAACTGAGAAGAGGGATTAAGTATCCTAAGCAGGCAGAAGACAAATGCACAGACTGGCATCCCATTTCCTGAAGTCTGCCCTCCCCACTTGAGGCCAAACACCCCACTCACTGATACACTGCAGTGAATAAGCCAGTGATGGAGCAAATCAAAGATGTTTGGCTGATGCCTGGGGGTAGCCATGATGGGGGCCAACCCCACTATGACCATATGACTTTTATGTCGTATACTCTAGAAGAAACCAAGTCAACAAAGTCCCTGAAATATTTACTCCCTCAAATCCCAGCCTTCTGAAAACATGTCTTATACTTCCCTTTATAAATGCATATTTGGATTTTCTTTTCCTGTTGTGAATTTCCCTAGCTTGTTGTTACATCATTGTTTGTGAAATGCATGCTTGGGTCACTTTTTTAATTTATTTATTCTTTAATTGTTATTGTAAACATGATGTACAGAGGGGTTACATTTGCACAAGTCAGGTAATGAGTACATTTCTTTTTGAACAGTATCACCTTTTCCCTCATTTTCTCCCAGGTTTTCCCTCTTGACTCTCCCCGCCCTCACCCAAGTTGTATAGTTCATTTTCAACATAATTAGTAAAGGTCTTCTCCAATTCTGTGGGCTTCCTATTTATCTTGCTAGCTATATCCTTTGCCATGGAGAAACTCTTGAGTTTGATGCAATCCCATTGATCCAGTCTTTCTGGATCTTTACTTAGGAAGTTTTGACTTGTGCCAAGGAGTCCTAGTGTTTCCCCTATCCTTTCCTGCAATATTTTTGTGGTATCTGGTCATACATGGTTTTTGATCCATTTAGCAATGCTTCTGGTGCAGGGTGATATAAGGTTTCAGTTTCCTGCACCTGTACAGCCAGTTCTGCCAGCACTGTTTGTTAAAGAGGCTGTTTTTCTTCCATTTTATGCTTCCATCAGAAAGAATTGCATTGCACCATTTGTAAGGAAATGGAAAGACTTGGAAAAAACTTGTACTAAGCAAAGTAAGTCAGACCCAAAGAAACATGGTTTCCCTCCTTTGTAATTATTAGAATGCACCTATAAACCTACAAGTAAATGTGATAGTAAAAGAGAAATAATTACTCTTGGACATGATTAATTAAGCAGCACTCTAAACATTCATACAGTGAGACTAAAGGAGGATATTCTCAGGAGAGGATCACAAGAGCTCCATAACTATGTGCATATAACTATATAAAATTATGTTTATCAACCTGAACTCCAAGAAATGGAACAAGAGGGTTTTTTTAATTTGTACTGTTTATTGTTCTTTTTTTTTCGCTTATTCCCTTTTGTTGATGCATTTGATTTCTGTAGCCTTTGTCTTGTATGTAAGTCTATCTGATTTGGGATGGGGAAGCACAGAAACAGTGAACCAATTCAGCAGCAATACTCACTAGACACTATGCTGGAAATGAGCTGTACAAATTCCAAGGAGGGAAAAACGGGGAGGACAAAGGACTGGGTGACACTGTTCAAAATGAAATGTACTCATTACCTGACTTATGTAATTGTAAGCCCTCTGTACATCACCCTTACAATAACATTTAAAAATAAAAATAATAAAAATAATTTTAAAAGGCTAAACATAGAGCTTCCTTATGACCCAGCAATTTCACTCCTGGGCATTTATCCAATAGAACATTTTTTTGTTTAATTCTATATTTAGATTTGGATGCCTCCTGGATCTCAAAACAATGCTCTAGATGTGGAGAATAAGAGATCTTAAGTTATTTTTACATACAAAAGAGAACTCAGAAAGATCATAAGAATAAGGTGAAATAGTTTTCCAGCTGGAAGCTAATGGATCCTTTCCTTGATTTTTCTTTTATGTGGGTTTTGGATTGTGATCTGAGGAAATATATGTAGTAACAGTATTCTATTTTGTCCTCATGTCATGTCATACACTATATTTTATATCTAAAATGTAATGCCGGTTGGATGTAGAAGCCAGGAAGACATTAGATGGTGCAGGGTAACAGGAAAGTGCTGTTTTACATGATGTGGTCAGAAAAGGCTTCCCTAGGAAGGTGATGTTTGGTCAAGAGATTTGGAATGAAACTAACATGACCAAGGCAGTTACTATGGTAAAAAAAAAAAATGTTCTAGGCATAGCAAAAAACTGGCACTCGGGATCTGGTCAGGTTCATTGTCCTCCCTGGTGGAGTGACCTCTTTACCCTCCCACCACCGTAAGCACTGCTAGTATCAGTTCCTTGGCCTAGGTGTCTAGCCAGGGTTTCCTACAGACTACACAAGGACCTGAAGCCCTGGAATGGGTTTATTCAAAGAATAAACAAATCCAGTGTGACTGGAGTCATGAAAGACAGGTAGTAGCATCAGTTATGGATGGCCTTGTCTTGGTACTTGTTTGGTTTATCCATTCATTTATGAATAGATACTTGGTTTTAATATTCACATTCTAGCTATTGGGAATAATGTTTCTATGAACATTTTTTTTTACCAGTCAAGGGGCTTGAACTCAGCCTGGGTATTGTCCCTGAGCTCTTCAGCTCTACCACTTGAGCCACAGAGCTACTTCTGGTTTTCTGGTGATTAATTGGTGATAAGAGTCTGATGGACTTTCTTGCCTGGGCTGGCTTTGAACTGCAATCCTCAGATCTCAGCCTCCTGAGTAGTTAGGATTACAGGTGTGAGCCACTGGCACCTGGCTTCTATGAACATTTGTATAGGAGGTTTGGTGTGTGCAGATTTTCATTCCTTTTGGGTGTATACCCAAGAGAAAATTTCCTAGGTGTACTGTAGGTGTACATTTAATTTCCTGCAGAATTGCCAGATGCTTTTCTGTAGCAGCTAAACCCATTGCTGTTCCCACCCGTACTCTGAGAGAATTCCAATTTCTCTACATTTTTCACCAATGCTTGTCTGAAGTTTTGATTATAGCATCCTAGTAGGTGTGAGGTGGTTTTAATTTGTATTCCCCTATGTAATTATGCTGGCGAGCATCTTTCTATGGATTTCCAGACTCTTTGCTTATTTTTTTAGGAGCCTATTTAAATCCTTCCTTCATCTTTTTTTTTCTTTTTGTTATTTAGGTATAAGATTTCTTTGTGTTTTCTAGACACAAGTGCTTAATCTCACACATGATTTGCAAATGTTTTCTCCCATTCTGAAGGTTGTCTTTTCTCCCTCCCTCCCTTCCCCTCTCTGTCTCTCTGTCTCTGTCTGTCTCTGTCTGTCTGTCTGTCTGTCTCTCTCTCTCTCTCTCTGCTGTCCCTCAGCTCTTCAGCTCAAGGCTAGCACTCTAACACTTGAGCCACGGCGCCACTTCTGGTTTTCTAGTGTTTAATTGGAGATAAAAGTCTCACAGACTTTCCTGCTCTGGCTGGCTTTGAACCGTGATCCTCAGATCTCAGCCTCCTGAGTAGCTAGGGTTACAGGCATGAGCCACAAACACCCAGCTGTCTTGTCTCTTGATGATATTCTTTGAAGCACAAATGATTTTAATTTTGGTGAACTTCAGTTTCTCTCTCTTTCCAATGGTTGCTTATGCTTTTGGTATCTTATCTAAATAAACACTGACTAAATCAGAGTTGTGAGATTTATACTTTGTATTCTTTTAAGAGTTTTATAATTTTTGTTAGTATTTTTCAACTCCCTCTAAACACAATTAGTATGATTTACTTAATTTTTCCCACAAAAAGAATAAATCAATCCTCACTGAAGAAATACCACCCATGTTCAAATTATGCAAATGAGAGTGATCAAAACAAATTGTTTGGTCTATAGTGACATTTTAATGTAATGCTACTCATTCTACAAATTTTTCTCTCTGTTTCTCACTGTTTTCTTTCTTATTTCCTAATAACTAAATTTAAAACAAATAGAGACTAATAATTTTAGTTTGTATTTTAATTGGCTAAAATAAAATAAACTTAGCCAAGCTGAAATTGTATTTTTCTAATAAAATTAGAATTATATGTAATATAAAAATATTTATTCTGAGCAAATTTTAGAAGTACTTATTTACAAACCATCTATTAATGTTATCTGTCATGTATCATATCTACCCAAGTATTCACTAAAAGAAATTTTTCCCTAGTAATAGAGAGCTCTGAAATAGTCTCTCAAGCTTGCTAGGTAGGTGTTCTACCACTTGAGCCATGACTCCAGCCATTTATTGCTTTAATTATTTTGGGGATAGGATCTTGTGTCCCAAGTCTGTTTTAGACTATGATCCTCCTATATATAGATTATAGACTTGTGTCACCATGCCTGACTTGTTTGTTGAATTTGGATCTTACTAATAACTTTTTGCCTGGGCTGACCTCAAACTGTGGTCTTCCTGATCTCTGCCTCCTGAGAAGCTGTGAGTATAGTGTTTACCACCATGCCTCACTCTCATTATTAAAGCAATCTCTAAGCAACATTTCTTATTACTATTCAATTATTATATAATCTAGAAATGGCACTATTTTCCTTAAAATTGGACTTCAGTTATGAAAGCTGTAAATTTCCATGTAGAACAGTGGCACTCATTAGACACTATGTGGAAAATGAACTGTAAATCTCGTGGGTAGGGATGGGAGGGAAAAACTGGGAGAGAGTGAGACATGGTTCAAAAATAATTGTATTCATTGCCTGATACATGGAACTGTAACCCCTCTTGTAACATCCCGACAATTACAATAAAAATTAAATCTAAAAAAAGTTCTCATGTAGAAAAATGTTAAAACACCAATTAAAAATAAACAGTCCTTTGGAATGAACAGAGGGAAGATGACTTAATCTCCATCAATGAGAAAGTGAGTTGAATATGGCTTTATGTACATTTTTACTAGAAAAGACTCTTGAAACATTTCCTCTGAGAGCTTGGTCCATTGGTTTCTTAAGATTTTAGATACGTAATTTGTGTTCCTTTAAACTGAAGTCACGATTATGTACTGTAACCCCTCTGTACTTCTTTATAATTACAATAAAAAATAAAAATAAATTAGAAAGCCAAAGTCATGAATCTGGTGCTGGTAGATCATGCCTGCATTCTAGATGCTCAGGAAGCTGAGATCTGAGGATCAAAATTCAAAGCCAGCCCAGGGAGGAAAGTCTGTGAGACTCTTATCTCCAACTATCTAACAAAAATCCAGATGCAACACTGTGGGCTTAATTGGTAGAAGCTCCAGTACAAACACACACACACACACGTGCACGCACGCATGCACGCACACACACACACACGCACACCCTGAAATCACTGCTATTGCTGCTTTTTCCTTGCAGATTCCACTCTTTTTTGCTCTTCATGGGCCATCCTCCTTATGCAATTCGAGAAGTGAACATAAACAAGTTCTGCCGGACCATTAGTGAATTTGCACTAGAGTATCGCACCACCAGGGAAAGGGTTTTGCAGCAGAAACAAAAGCGGGCCAACCACAGAGAAAGAAATAAGACCAGAGGGAAGATGATCACCGACGTAAGTTTCACAAAAAAGTCTCTTGATGTTGTTGTTTTTTGTTTTGTTTTTGTGGGTTTTTTTGTAAATAAGATCCACCATCAAACTTTCTCACAGTTTGCGTAGTTGTGCGATATGGAAAAAAAAATTCTCCTTAAAAAAATGGTCTTCCTCTATTTCTGAGAATATGTAATCTGTGACAAATCAAGGCCTAGGTCATGTAAAAATTAAGATTGTGTGGCTGGAGGAGAAATGCATAGTTTATGTTGGTGTGTTGTATGAAGCCCATATCACTTAAATATTTGATAAAATTGGAAAAGGAAAAAATATCAAAGATAGCCTGTGATCACAGGAAGACAAAGAGGTGTTAATTTGGAAATGCTTGAAGATTTCAATCAGCATAACAATGTTATTCATTCAGTCACATGGACCACGCTTTGGGGGCATGTGACTAGAAAACTGACGTAACTGCTCCAAGATGTGATTTGATGAGCCCTTGGCAGTTCTTCAAGTCACAGAATGTCAGGAAGCAAAGGTATTCAGTGAAACAGTGAATCTAGCAGTATTCTTATAGGACCATGAGATGCCTCTGGATACTTATATATTCATTCCCCCTGTTCCTGGGTTCTTAATCTCCTCCAGGTCAGGCTAGCCCTGAGCATAGTTAGTCCTTGGTTGCATAACACACTCAAAACAGGATATGCTCAGTATGTGGAGTGAAGAGAGGCACAAAAACAATAAAGCCAGAGCAGGTCCCCTTTTCCAGTGTGCCTTTGTGAAACATGGAACCCCAGCCTGTTAGCTCTTTCTTTTCTAGTAAGCTTAAAGTTTAGTTGCAGGAAAAAGAAGAAAATTACCAGGAATACTCCTTTCTTCACCATTTCTTCTTAAACAGACTCAGAAAAAATAAAGTCATCTTTAATACTGACATCGTATTTGGAACCTATTGAATGTCTCTTCAGTTTGTTTGTTTTTCATTGTTTGTATCCATGCTTGTGAACCTCTACCTGTGCAGGAATTGAAGCAGTACATGAGTTTTCACTGATAGAAGGAATAGAATGAGTCAAGGGTTAAGTAATGTGGAGTGTTGTCATCCCTTGTGGTTTAAGCTTCATCTGAGCTCGTGTCAGGCAAATTTCTTTGAGAAGGAAGGAAAGCAATGAAGAAGACCTCATGGAGGCTATCTTCTGCAGCCAGAGGTGTGTTCATGTTGTAGACAAAACAGAGGAAATATGTTTATTTCTCTCTCACAGAGTCCACATTCCTGAGGGGTCTTTTCATAAGGAAACCCAGATGCACTGACTTAGACGTTTTGCTGTACTTTCAAGACAATTCTAAAGAAATCCATGGACTAATAGTCTCCTTACCACCCACCTCTACCCAAACCTCTTACTTCCTTGGAACTTTCTGGAGCCTTAGAAAGCACTAGAATCTCTCTCTCTTTTTTAAAGAACCCTTCCTGCAGCTTCTGGAAGCTCTGAATGCCATGCCATTGGCTAAAAGTCTGATGTCTTCTCCTGATACTGGTTTCTGCAGGATCTTTATCCTCCTGGAGGGTTAAGGAAACAAACTGAATCCACTTGGTCAAACTATGGCCTACACTACATTCCTAAGTATTACTTTTAAACTATTTTTTAAAAGGACTCATTTATTTTTGTAGAAATGAGACACATTGTAGGGCAAAAGAACACAAGCTCAATATGCTTATAGTTAAGAAAACACATCAGAATTTCTTGCCAAATTCTTGAGATTGTTTTTAACAGATCCCACTAATTTTAAAATTGTGAGAATAGCTAACTTTCCTAGTCATAAACAGAGGTAAATATTTCTAGGTTTTGATTCCGTAATATTTACGTTCACATTAAGATCTGGACAGTATGGACCTCTGGGTTCACATTTATGGTTTTTAAGAGGCTATAATGGCATTTATGTAGAATGACTGCCATCTGCTGGAATAGTAGAATATTGTCACTAAGGCAAGCTGGCTTCAGATACTCCAGCTCTCAATGGAGAAACATTCATGCGTGTCCAGAATTACAGTGGACATCAAAGAAGATGTAAGTAACGCTTATAACCAAGGAAAACTTATGCAAGGAAAGCTTATAACCAAGAATGTCAAGATTTGGGTGGAAAGTTACATACATACAACAGATCCCAAAGCCACAAATCGATATAGATTAATGGAAGCTCAAATATTGAGGTTTTAGAGAAACCTATAATACATCATGTTTAATATAGATACACTGAATAAAATGAGAATGAAGTGATAGCAGTTAAACTGAGATGAGACACCGAGGGTTAACTTTGAAGACATTATTTTGTAGAGTCAGGTTTGTATCAGCTCTAGGGAACTATCTCTCCCCCACCCTTCCTGCTTGTGGTCACACACCGGACTTCACTTTCCTTGGTCCAGGAAGTACCAGGCAAGGCTCAATTAACCATCTTCATCTTTCTACTCCAAACTGGCTCAAGAGCAATGGTGACAGAGACCAAGCAGCTCTAAGCATCTATGCTCCTTTCTCCTGCTGTCCTAATCCAAATGGGCTGAGTAGGAAGTGTGAGGACTCCACTGTGCAGGACAGTGATGAAGTCCCCTCACCTCCATCAACCTCTGCTGCTTCTATGGAATGGGACGATGATTACTTTTAGGGCTATGGAGAGGGTGAAGGTTTTATAAGTACAACATCGTGCACATATGCTGATTGCTGAAAAACTGGCAGCCATCCTGGTTAAATAAATAAGCCATACGACCAAAAAAAAAAAAGAAGAAAAAGGGATAGTGAAGCAGTTCTGTTGTCTCTTGTCACAATGCCATTTGGGTGGGGTGGTGTGGAATGTGTGTGGTGCCCTGGAAGCTTTCTGACATTTTAACTTCCAAAAGTATCAAAGAAGTTGGGTCTGATGAAATCTGGGTGGAAATACTTAAATTGAAGGCACGTTTAATCTAAATCAAGAGATTGGGATGTCTTTTTCATCTTCCATTTGCATTTAGCAAAAGGCTATTTTATGTAATTTTAAATAATAAAGTGACATCTGGCAAAGTAATTGCAAGCACAGAGAATCTGTCCCAGTGACAACCATGAAAGACAGGTGAAGTTTTATAAGGAGCTTAACTTCTCTGAGGAGAGAGTAACTTGATACATTCTGCTTGGGAGTTGTCTACTTGTCCTCTATGGTGTGTGTGTAGATGATTAGGTGCAGTCCAAGCCCAACAACCTGTCACGGAAGGGGATAACACTCAGGATGAGAGGGGACACAGCTAATGACAGAGCCAGGTGAATGGAGGCTGGTCCACTTACTGAGCTTGAGTAGCCAGCAGGAGGTAGAAGACCCAATAGAATATAGACAGGCATGTATCAGGATTCTGAACAGGGACTAAAATCAATAGTAGGTAAACCAGATGAGCATCCCTGGTAGGTTGTCCTGGAGCCCTTCCAATCCTCGCTGCCTCTGATCAGGGCTGGACTTGAAGCTCACAGAACAATTATCCAGATAAAGATAGGAGAGTAGGGCCTGGCAAGTCCCTGGTTTGTGGTGGCCAGTTTCCCCTTTCAAGAATGTGATGTGATGTTGAGATCTCATCTGTGCTGACTTCTATATCTTCTAAGAATCCTTCTTTTCCATCCTGTCCTGTCCTGTCCTGTTCTGTCCTGTTGGGTAGACCGATGACGAAGATGAAGTTGAGGTATGACCATTTATAAACTTGAAGAACACCGCATTTGACTTTCCCATGTGTGCTGTAGCATCTAACTTAATGTCGTCAGCATGAAGTATCAGCACCATTCAGAGCTTTAAACCATGCATGGACTTTTTTTTAACTGGTTGATTTTTGTGTGGTCACTAACTACCTAATGAGTTGTCATCATGCTGTGTATGTCAGAGGTGAAGGGTTAACTGCATTTTCCAAGCCATCTGTGACTCTAGGTGCATCATTAGCCCTGCCACTAGTGGCAGGTCCAGGGAATCTCTTTATATCTTTTTTTTCATCTCCCTTTCTGAGCCTTTTGTAAGTTAATTGTGAAAACAATTCTAAAATAGCTATATGTGTATGGTGGGCAAGGTGGTAAGAATCAAGGCTAGCATAGACTACATAGCAAGATCTTGTCTCAATAACAAAATGAAGTAGAATAACTACATAAAGAATCCTAAAACTAAGAGGAAGTGAGTCAGCGACCAAGAGCCAGGCCAGAGCTATGGTCACTACCCATGGATAGAAATGTGCCCATTTCTTTTGACTAGGTCCTATGGCATGTGTGTAGAGCTGGGAGGGTTGGGTTTTCTCACCTTAGAACCAGAGATGAAACTGAAGAATGAGGAGGTCAAGTCACACAACTTTGTATCCTAAGCTCTGTTGGTGTGGCTGAAAAGAGGAAGGTAGGGATGGATTTATAGAGTTCTTGGTAGTTTGACTTAAGGAGTTTTTCCTGGATATTTGGCATCGTGTATATACAGTATTCTAATATACCTCTTCAATGCCTATTTGTCCAGGTAGAGTTAGAAAAAATCATCATGGGTTTGCAATACATATTTATCTAAACAACTACATTTTTGACAAAACTGAAAATATTGAGTGTTGCTGAATTCCATTTGGACTTGAGTTTATGCATCATGTTCTGTTCTGCACCCTGGCATGTGGCCCACTTCAGTCTTTGGCCATTTCATCTTATAGGGCCTTAGTTTCCTTTTCTTCAAAATGAGGTCAGGCCAGCTAGACCTAGGCAAATTCTTCCAAGCTCTTAGCTGGAAAGATAAAGCTCAGGACATTTGATTAAGAAGGTGTGTTTTAGCTCTAATTTCTGGACCTCAGTTTGAGGCTCAGGAACTCTGTCCTCTGAGTTGCAATCTGTCACCTCTAGTGGACACCCAGTGGGGAATCTGAACCTCTAAGAGAAGCCGGTTGATGGAGTTCCTTCTGGGGCAGTGGCTATTGTTTTGACAGTAGATCTGTGTACAGTTCTTTTGTCACCAGTCAATAACCTCATCAATTGTCAGAACGTATGGATGTATAGAATGTATGCAAACCAAACAAATACACAAAAGGGAAAGTTTTCCATAGCTGAAAGTTTCCTAAGGTTGAGTTGCCTCTAGGAGATCAAATCTCCCTCATGTGTTTATTAACTTCCTTTGGTTTTGCAGTCTGGCAAATTCTCTGGCAATTCTCCAGTGCCCCCAAGCCAGCCGCAGGGTCTGAGCTATGCTGAAGATGCAGCTGAACATGAGAACATGAAGGCTGTGCTGAAAACCTCGTCCCCTGCTGTGGAGGATGCCACCCCTGTGCTTGTCCGCACTCGCAGCCGAGCAAGCCGAGGTAACTCCTGTGCAGGGCTTCTCTTCTCCCTTGGTCACCCAGGGGAGTGGGTCATCCAGTGAACCCATCATAGGGCACAGGATATTGTACTCAGTGAATGGCTGTGATGCATTAGTAACTCTCCCTAGCTACCTTTCACTAGCTACCTTCAATAGCTTCAACTCAAAGAACACAACACTCCCCAAACAACCCTGCCTACCTTCTTCCTTTCTTCTCTCCCTATTCACTCCTTCCTTCCCTCTTTCTGTCCCCATTTCTTCCTTTTTTTCTTCTTTGTTTGTGTGTGTGTGTGTGTCTGTGGGTGTGTGTGGGGTACTAAGGATTGAAATCAGAGCCTTACATTGGCTAGTTAAGTGCTCTACCTCTTGAGCCACACTCTCTAGTCCTTTTTGCTTCTAGTGCAGTTTTTTAGCTAGGATCTTCTCTTAACTTTGCCCAGCTGGTTTCAGACCAATGTCTGAGCCCCGAGTGGCTGGGATTAAAGGTATATACCACTACTTGTGGCCTGTAGAAGGATTTCTTATTGTGAGTGAATTCTCATAGGCCCATGTTTGTAGATACAGATGTGGATATAGATATATTGCACCTTGTTCTATTTATTTGTCTCCTCTGTGGCTGCTTTACACTCCAATGACATAGTTGGACAATTATGATAGAATTTATAGTTGACAGAGCCTAAAAAAATTACTTCACAAAAAAAGTTGGCCAACTCCAGCACTGGCACACACAGACATACACACATACAAAGCCAGTGTTCCAAGAGAGTTTAAAGGAAAGAAGGGAAGAAAATGAGGTGAGTTAGAAGCTGAAGAGAAATAGTATCATTAGATGCTGAGGGGTAGAGACAATCAGTCTAGAAAAAAGCATAAAATATGAATGTAATTATTTTATGAGTAAAATAAAATAGCTTTGTAGTATTATAATATACAGAGAGGGAAATTACTTACCCCTTTAGGTACCAAGAGGCCTGAGATACCCTCGGTGTGAGTCTCTCTCTGCCGCCCAGCTCTTTTAGGCTTTGGGTAGTAGGCTCAGCATGGCCTTAGAACTGGCATGTGGTGATGCTAGCTATCAGATCTCAGTGGATGCAAGGCAAGAAGGTGGCAAGTTCTAGGGCAGCCCAAGAAAAGTTAGCAAAACCCAGTCTTAAAAACCAAAGACGTGTTATATTCATAAACTGATTTGTTATATGGCACCTCCTTTGTGCAACTACTTAAAGATGATTATAAATTTTAAAATATGTGAAGAATAAGTACAAAAGGACTAGGGGATATAACTCAAGTAGTTTCTTCGATTCAGTTCCTAGTACTACAAAATATAAAATCACAAAATAGAAGTGAGAACTTACATAAGTAGTGAAAAGTACATGAATTAAACAGATTTTGAACTTATAAAAACAATCATATAGCCATTCTTGAACTACAGAATAAAATTTGCAATAAGGGCCTTAGTAGATAGATTTGATAGCAGATTTTTTTCTAGCAAAATATGAATTTCAAGATTAATAGAAAATTATAAAGTAAAGCATAATGAGAAAAAATGGGAAAAGTATATATATTTACATACAGACATACATATTCACATATATTCACAATCATAGATTTCACAAGGATGTTGATATGTTCCAAAGGAATGGCTCTGGGTATATTAAATTAATTTCTTTTTTTTCTTTTTTTTTATTGTGAAAATACCGTACAGAGGGGTTACAATTACATGAGCAAGGTAATGAGTACATTTCTTATCAAGCATTGTTGCCTCCTCCTTTGTTTCCCCTTCCCATCCCTTCCCATATCCCCCCCCCCCCACGTTTCCCCCCCCCCGCACCCCCCCTCGTCCCCCGCCTGCGCCAAAGTTGTAAAGTTCGTTTTTCGACATAACGTCTGGTACATCTCATTGTTGCAATGGGCCCACCTGTATCCCTATTTAAACAATTTGTTTTTTCCCTTCCCCTCCCCAAATTATACCAACATCAAATACAGTGAAAACAGGGGTTATACTGTGTGGGCGGGACATACAAAGCAACAAAGAAATCATCTTATAAATGCAAGAAAGAAAAAACATTGAGTCCTTATCCTGGGGTTTAAATTAATTTCTAATTGATACTACCTGGGAACCCCTGATTTGGTAGTTGTTTCTTTTTGATTGTCTAAAGTGAATACTTTTGATGCCAGATTTGGTCCACATTAACAGTTATTTATAAACGTATTTTTTCTCATCAAGAAGCAGGTGATTATTCCAAAGGAAAAAAATCATGTCAATTTCTTCATTTGATGGGTGGACAGGGCAATCCTAATACATTTTAAAAATTTCTAGATAATCTCAAATCTCTGGATTTCTTCTTAACCTTTGAGAAGTTAGTACTAGTTGACATTTGGGATATCCCACCAATAATAGAAAGCTGACTTTAGTGGGTCTTTACTGGAAGTACATAGTAGGGTATGGCACGGATCATCTGTTCTTGGGTATTTACAGGACCTGCCAGGTAAATACAGCACACACAATGGAGAAGATAACATAATGAGATAAGAACACAGATGTAGAACAGGACAGGATGACCAAAATGCTCCAATACATGTTTGTGCAGAGCATTTGGGTGGTAGCAGCCAGAGGTGGGGACATGTTAGCACCCTGGTTATGTTAACTGTGAAACTCTCCCTTTTGCTAGAATCCACAGCTGGCAGATCTCAGCTATTTAGAAGAAAAATGGTGTGTATTTTTATGTTGGGATTTTTCACTATGTCTTTTATACCATCTGGTTGTTGAACTTCTCAGGATCTACTAGTTCGTGGACTATGGGAACTGATGACTCACCTAATGTCACCGATGATGCAGCTGATGAGATCATGGACCGAATTGTCAAGTCGGCCACCCAAGTGCCCAGTCAGCGAGTCGTGCCGAGGGAGAGGAAGCGATCTCGGGCCAACCGCAAATCTCGTGAGTGCATTTGGGGCTGGGTGAGGGAGGTACCTCCCTTTCCATTTGATATAATTTCAGAGAAGACCTACCAGCACTCCTCAAGGGAAGGTTTGAAGTTCACTATCCATGTGGCCCGTTGTGGAGAGAATTGCTGCCCCATCTGTCCATTCTACTTTCTGGGTAGCCAGACCTCTCTCAATACACACATGGCCTCTAGTAAACTCAGAAAGGCCCTTATAGGTCTCTAGTGTGCAGAGATGGGCAGAGGAGACACTGCCAAATGTGCTTCTGCTACTTTGCTTAAAGATTGAATTTGTGCCCTTCATCCAAAACCAAAGGGCCATTTCTTGGGTTGGAGGCAGATTTCTTTGCAACATGTTAAAGGTAAAAATAAGAGCTAGCAACCAGCAGTTGTGATGTTTAAAATATTTAATGTTAACTCAGGCTGATCAGCATTTTAGCCTCTTGAAACTAGCTGTTCAAAATCATCAGTTAACCAGAGGATCCAACAAAGTCAAAGTGACTAGTGTTCCTTTAAGTCTAAGCCTGCTGCCTGCTCCTACCCCCTGAACTGACAGGTATGATGTTACCTCTGTTGGCACTGTGCCAATTCTGGCAGGAGCCTCTCTCTGGAGAAACAGGATCTCTGTGGATCCTTTGGCATCTGCTTGCATTAGCTATGGCTCTTAGTGTTTGGGGAGAACCCCCTGATTTTCGTGGGTTACTGGGTCATGCAAGAGATAGCTTCAACTTCCACTGACTTGGCCTGTAACAAGGGAAGGAAAAAAGGAATGTGGTTGCCTCTCTTTACTTTGTCTCTCAGATAGACAGTAACCTCAGACAGGCACAGAATTTCAGTAAGAACTCAAATGCAGGACACTTTCCGTTTATTCCACCTGTGAGATTTTCAGAGGAGGAAGCATGGACTGCAGTGTCTGACTTTGTTTTACTTGATGCATCGCCATGCTTGTTACTAGGGTAGAGAATACTACAACACATTCCTGCAGCCTGATGAACCTTTCTCCTTATACAGGATCTCCTTTTGACTCTGATGGAAGTTTTGCTCAAGAAAAAGAAGCCTTAGGGGTGAGCGTAGCATGGCAGGGAGGTCAGTTCTCATTAAGATGAGTGAGTTGAGTTTCTGACAAGCTCCTCTGTGAAGTTGATGCTGCTGGTCTTTGCAACTTATCTGAGTGACAAGACTCTAGAGCTATGGTTCTCAACTTTGGATTCACACTAGAATAGTCTGTAGAGATTTTTTTAAGCCCACATATATTGGCTAAAGCTATGAATTCATAACCTCATGGGTAGAGGTCAAGGTCTGGGCCGTAGTTCCTTTGGGGAATTAGTGTCACTGAAAGGTAGGATCTCTCTCCACTGTTTGGCTTACCCTCTGCCCTTGTAATCCTGCCACTTTTGAATAGAAAACTGCCATTCAAGCACTTTAACTTTTTACACTTTCAAGATTGTCTTTGTGGGCACCCCTATTGGCATATGTTTTGAATATCAATGCAGGAGACTTTGTTTCAAATGAAAAATTACAATGTGTGTGGTTTCTAACACCTAGGGAAGCCTATCTAAGAAATCTTAGTTTTTAAAATGTAACTTGAAAGAGGCTTTCTTTAGATGATCAGTGGTTTGCCCTCAGTAACTATTGCACTCTTATCTGTTACTTCAGTAATCTGGTAATCAGCCAGGCACTGCTGGCTCATGCCTATAATCCTGCTACTCAAAAGACTGAGATCTGAGAGTTGCAGTTCAAAGCCAGCCCAAACAGGAAATTCCACGAGACTCTAATCTCCAGTTTACCACCAAGAAGCCAGAAGTGGTGCTATGGCTCAAGTGGTAGAGAGCCAACCTTGAGCGAAATAGCTAACGGAGCTCTCAAGACCCTGAGTTCAAGCTGATGTACCAGCACAAAAATAATAAATCAATAAGATAAACTGGTAACCAAGTGAGAGGAGCCTTGCACCTGCTAACTCCTGGTTACTCTCCTACTAACTTCTGTGGTGAACAGCCTCAGTGTCAGATGGGTATCATGGGGAGGAGCTGGGAAGAACTAGCAGGAGATGGAGGGGACTGTGGCCCAACCATTCTTTGGAGGCCAAGTGTATGGGTTCCTACAAGTTACTGTGTGTGTTTGGGCCCACCCTCTGGTCTAGAAAAAAAAAAAAAACCAGATTCCTAGACCCATAATGTCACTGGGAACAATAACACAGTCATAATTAATTTTCCTCTTCAGTCTGGCAAAAGAGAGACTGTTTTTGTGGTTGACATAAAATAATTTCCTGTGGTATCATTTCCATTCCAATCTTATGCAAAACAGCCGTATATTCTTTTTATTTAGCCAAACACATTTTTTCCCGTGACACAGTTACTATAACAAATACAGTCCCGCACGCATGTAAGTATTTATCTGTAACGAGTTTAATTTATTAGTTAGTAATGGCCCTATCAGCAGAAATTTAAGACAGGGGATATTAGACTTTGATTTCCATTTTCAAAAGATGATAAACTCCAGCTTTTCACAAGAAGTTAAAGTAATAAGGGGGTTGGGTGAGGGGAAGAAACAATTTACAAAATCAAAGTGAAGTTTAGAGCTTTGGGCCTCAACATAAACAATGTTGTGTTTGATTTGATTGTTTAATGGTGCCAATGAGGCAAGTAGATAATGAATAGCCAACATATTTGGTGTATAACTCATTTGGCTGAAGACAATTACAGTCCAGCGAGTCCTGTAGTAAGGAAATGAAATAGAATCCATCTTACAACCTGGAAATCAATGGTCCTTAGTCCATTCAAAGGTCCCCAAGAGAATGTCTGCTTCTACATGTGATGCTGGTCATGAGGCCTTTTCTTGTGGCATTTTGGAGCATGCCAAGGGAGCATCCATTTTCAGGTTCTCATGGCTGTTTTGCTGCTTTTCCAGCTAGTTTCAGTTAGTGTCTCATTAAGTAAAATGTTCCAAATTTGAGAAGCCTGGGACCTGGTCATTCCAGCTCACCTCATATGCTCCCCCAGATTCCAGCCAGTCAAGGTTCTCGGGTCAGTTGGTGGCTCTGACACAGGGAGAGTATTCTTTGAGCTCTCAGATTCTTTTTCTCTTATTTTGGCTTCTTTTTTCATCATTTTGGAGCATATGTTTTGTCCTAGGGCTGATTGCCCTCTCACGTTTCCTGGATATGGGCCTTGCCTAGAACATGCTGAAGTTTAATGGTGTTGGAGGATCTTTCCTAGTGTGCTGATACAGGACTAACTGGGGGAGGGAGAGAGGAGAAGATGCCCAACCCTGTCCTTCCTGTCCTTTCCATTCTTAGACTCATCTTTGGAAGAAGATGTGCCTAGCTGACTGCCTGCATATTGCCATGTATTCACCTTGTCCAAGAACAGAGTCAGGGATGAGAGACTTATAGACTTCCTTTCTCTTTCCAGTGGAGCCCAGGCTTACTAAGGTTGAGAGAGAGACTGGTGGAAACTTTTTGAGTTTTCTTTTTGAAGGAGGGAGATGTTTTATGCCCCCCATTGGTGACGTAAGCATGGAGTTTGGGCCTCTGGGCCTTGTTTCTCTAAAGATGTCATCACTCTGACATGTCCCACATACAGCTGAGACTGGGTTGGTCTCCCATCTGAGAATAGTTGCCCAATGAGAAGGTTCGAGTGGCTGGGGAAAGGAATGAAGGGTTTTGATTGTGCACTGTGGTTCCTTCCCCTTCATACGGTGACAACCTCCTCATCGTGTATGTCGTTGTGAGTGTGGACATTCTCTGGAAGGACATAATACATAATTCACCTTTGTTTGATACAGCTAAAATCCTTTTCAATGAGAGATGTAATCATGCTATCTGTTAAGTATTTCCTGGAGACACAATGAATCTTAAAACTATTGAATCTATTTTAGAGAAAATAGGAGCCGTGTCTCACAAAATATTGGATTCAGTCCTGGACCTGATCCATATACAACATAATTCATTTATCTTCAGTTTTCCAAAGTGTCACTTGAAAATATCCAAAGCTTTCACCCTCCCCCACTAATCCTATTAAGAGAATTTCCTGCATTATATTTAAATAGTTTTTCCTTACATACCCTAAGCCAATTCCACATTCTCTTATAGAGCAAGTTAATAGTGGCAATAGGCCCAGAACCCTTAAACTTAGTGCTTTTGGAACAAAATAAGACCGTTAAAAGACCAGTTTCTCAATCAAGCTCTCCTTCTCAACGATATTGTCATTCGTGTTTAGTTAGCACTTAATGATTTCTAGAGCTTATTAAAGATGGACTGATCCCTCCTTCAATGACTGCTGAATGCACCTAGCCATGAGCACAGGACATGGGACAGATGAATAGAATAATTCAAGACCAAATCAAAGGCCTCCTCAATGAGCCCAGATGGAGGGGCACTGCATTTTAGAGAGCAGGGCTAGGCCAGAGGCAGTTCCAATGTGATAACAAGTCAGGAACTCGGACTCAGGTGAAAGCCTCAAGGATAGAAAGACGGACATAGTGAAAACTTGACGTTTCACCTCATAGGAGAGCTCACTGTTCGTTTGGTTTTCAGATGAATCTCTCTTCCAATGGGGAACTGGCACACTGGAAAAGTGAGTTGGCCTTCCATTTCTCCACCATGTCTGTTTGTATGCCAGACACCCATTTGGCCCAGAGGACAGGTTTAGGAGAGAAGAGCAATGAAAAGAGGAATCTGAGAATCTGTCCTGCATGCCTCCAAGAGCTATTCTGAGGTCACAAAAAGAGAGTTCCTGCAGGAGATGTTACAGTAATTTGTTGTCCTTTCTGCCAAGTTCAAATGAAATCCATTTCTGTGTTTAGAAAGTTGCACACATATCGAACAGAAAGGGAGACACCATCCCTTATAGATCATTCATTCTTACTGAGCCTCAGTCTTCAATGCAATGTGACAGACTCCTAGAATGCTGGTGAGGAGATTCTTGTCCAAGGGCAGGATGTGAGGAGGGAGTTGAAGCTGTATGCCAGTGATCAGGGGCTCCTTAACAGTCACTCT